ATTAAACATACATTATGGTAGAGCTAAATCTGCCTATTGAAGGTATTTCTTTAGGCCTGAAATGTTATCTAAAATATTAATCAGACATTAATTAACTTACCAAGACATTAATCAACTCTCGATGTCATCGCTAGCCTGCTATATTTACTGTATTTGAATCCGATATGCTGCTCAATGCTCATTGATGATTTAATCCAAAAATGGATAATCGAGACTAAGTTTTTTATCGTACCGACTTTTGTAATTCCCTTTACATTATCTAATTTTTAACTATTATAGTGAGAACTGCCAGCTCTTTATCTAATCTCCATTAATGCCCCTTTAAGATGTACTATTTCAGTAATTGTTACCATTCAATCCAAATTTAAAAACAAAAATTATGGACAAATTCTGAAATCTCTCAATAGATTAAGATATACAATAATACATGTACGTAAAGGTCTTTTCAGTAGTTATTTATGATTGCGATATTTTGTGCAATCAGGTGCCATAATCCAGGAAGCTACGTTCCGATAGGCATGAATATCGAAAGGAACCAAGATCTTTTGGATATAAACACTGTTTCAAGTTTCATCAAAATTGGATAAAAATTGTGACTTCTAGAGGGTCACAACCTTGGTATATTACATACTTTTACACTATTTGCGTACAAGGAGCGACCATTTTGTCGGGAGTTTTGGTCCAATTTTTATGAAATTCAAACTTAACCATCATTAGGGTGTTATTAACGGTGATATATTTAAACAGTATTTAAAATTGAATACAAATGGTGACTTCTAGAGGGTAAACAAGCGAAAAATGTGATTTTTCGAACAATCTGGGGCCATATTCCTGGAAGTTACGTTTCCATCTGCGCGATTACCGAGATCTTTGTGATTTAAACATAAATTTAAAGTTTCATCAAAATCGGATCCAAATTGTGACCACTAGAGGGTCCACAACTTTGATATACCATACTTTTACACTACATGTATTTGCGTACGAGGAGCGGCCATTTTGTCGAGCAGTTTCAGTCCTATATTCACAAAATTCAAACTCAACTGTCATTCTGGTGTATTGGTGAAATATCCAAATATTTTTTTAAATCGGATAAAAATTGTTCCCTCTACAGGGATCACAAGCTAAAAACACAATTTCTCATACAATCAGGGGCCATAATTCAAAGTTACAGTCTGATATGCTCGAATATAGACAGGAACCAAGATCTTTGGGTTATAAACATACATTTCAAGTTTCATCAAAATCGGATAAAAGTTGTGACCTCTTAGAGCGTCTAAAAGCTAAAAACGTGATTTTTCGTACAATGAGTGGCCATAATCCATGAAGTTATGGTCCGATACATGGCAATTTTGACAAGAACCGAGATCGTTAGGAGATAAACCTATATTTTGTCAAAATCAGATAAAAATTGTGACCTGTAGAGCATCCACAAACAAATTGTGAACGGATATCTGGACAGGGGAAAAAAAAAAAATATACGTCAACATAAAAATGTGGGCGTATAAAAATACATCTTGTAAATTACTAACCTGGATAGCTTCATCCAAACAAGGATAGCTTCATCCAAACAAGGAATGTACATGTATTTTGACTGTTAATGAGTCATTGAGGAAGTAAATGTTTAAAGAAACTAATATATAAAGGTTACTGTCAAGATTAACTAAAGATACATGTACTGGTAAATGAAATGAAATTGAATGGAGTTTAACGTCCTTCATTTATGCACCGACTGGGCTAATGAAGACGGACAAATACAATGTAGTGGGTCATGAGAGAAATTCATTTTTCGAATTCCAACTGTCATGGGTTCTTTTACCTATACGCCAATGTGTACACAGGACCCTGGTTTTTCCATCCCATCCAAACGACTAGGCATTGTCCTTGCCAGTCTCTCTCCACCCTACCTCACTGACAAGGGGAAACCATGTAAGAGCGAACCCGAGACCTCACGACTCCCACATGTACGGCAATTTCTTGATTAACCAACTATGGACAACTGCACCTAGTGGAGGGCCGGTGGGTCTATATCAATGCGTGCACAATTTAAGGGTAGCGGTTTGGATCCCGATGTGCATGGTTGCTTAATTGAAATAATGATATGTTTGACCCAAAATGACCTGTTTAGTGTTGATAGGTCGTCGAACCACATTTCTCTCCATTTACAACTGCACAGATAATCACTCTCCAAAAACGTTTTAGTCCCTCAAACAATGACAAAAACATCACTCATTCAAGACAAAAACATCTTCCTCCCTCAAACAAGACTAAAACATATTCTCAACTCGAACAAGATAAAAACATTTTCCTCTCTCAAACAAGAGAAAAATAATCATTTGGAGGCATTTAATAACTGGATAGAGCAATAAACTATAAGTAAGGCAAATATATACAGAAAAATTATAACAACAAACCATGAAATCATACATGACAACAAGAAGATCAAAGGACATAGACTTAAGAGTGTTATAATCAATTATGAAACTAATCCACAAAAATAATTGACCGATGTGTTATTTCCCTTCACGGACACGGATGCAGTGACGTGGCTTAACTGTTACAATTCAGTAAAAGCTATTGAATTTGAGACTAACCTAGATCAGTAGAATTTGAGACAAATTGTTTATTATAAATCAATGATTGACAGATCTGAAAGTGATCTTCATTGAGGTATTGACATTATACCAGGAAGTTGTAACCTTATATTATATGACAATCAAATATAATTAACCATGAGTCATAGTACATAGGTTAACTTTTAGGTTTTTATTCACTATTCAAGAAGTGTATCGAGATTTCATATTTAAAATCGTTAAAGTTTTAGGTTATAAAAATAAAAATGACTATCTGTTGCTTAAAAAATATACAGTTTGTACTAGTAAGCTAAATATCATAAATATAATTCGAACTTCAGTGGGGGGGGGGCACGGTGGCTAAGTGGGTAAGATGCTGGCTCGCTAGCCTGGAGGTAGGGTGTTCGATCCCTGCATTGGCCGAGAAAGTTCAACCAGATTTTCCGGAGCGTGGTTCACCCTCGTCAGTGATGCAGGACAGAGGGCCCGACAAAGACATCTGTCTAGTCATTGGGATGGGACGAAAAACCGACGTCCCGTGTACACATTGGCGTGCACGTAAAAGATCCCTTGACAGTTAGAATTCGATATAAGAGTAGGCTGTAGTGCCGCTGTCCGGGCAAAGTTTCCCCCATAGCAAACTTTATGGTGTATGCCCGTCTTCATTAGCCCACTTTGGAGTAGAACAGTAGGATGTTAAACCCCATTTCATTTCATTTCCAACTTCAGTCCACCTAAAATGAAGAAGTGTTAGTTAACCTTATACATGTATAGCTTCAGTCTAGTATGTAAATGTAATCATACTCTGGTGGGCACCTCACGCATATATCATTACATGGCCACCTGAGCATACAATAAATGAATGAAATTAAAATGTGGTTTAATATCTTTCTTTTCAGCACCAATGGAGATGGGCATACAATGTATGAGAAAATTTTGCACAGACAGCAGCCTTACAGAACTTTTCATATAAATATAGAACCAGTCCAGTTTTCAATAGAAACCAACACAACCTTATTGCAAACCACACACCAGTAATATTGTAGTCATTGCAAACACCCTCCTGACACCTAATAGTAATAAGCAGACTGGTAGTAGTCAAGACAGTGTGCCGAATTCCAGAGTCCGGGTTAATTAGAGTCATCAACTTTATTAATGACCTGAAGCACCAGTAGTTGATGAAATTATTGAAATGGGTAGAATGCCACACATGCCTGTATATAATAAATTTATAACAGAATGTGCTGTCAAAGTGACCAAATCAGGAAATGTTCAAGGATATTAATCACAGCCACTGATGTCCCAATGAATCCTGACATCCTGAATAATGTTGAGAATAGAACCAATTTGTATTTAACTAAAAATGATGATTCAAAGAAAGAATGAATTTTACTACAAGATTAATCTTTAATTAAGTATTAAGAATGACTTAGATTAGAATATAATATTCCCCCATTCATTCTCAGTCCTGAAATACAGAACCATTTGATTTGTTTGGGGGAGGGGAGGAGGGGGTGGGGGTAGAATATGACCATTTAAGTAAAATTATTGGTACTAAGAGTAAGACTTGGGAGAGAGAGAGAGAAATGGGGTTTAACGTCCACTTGACACAAACTAGGTCATTTCGGGACTAACATATGGTTTTAATTTTATTTCAATAATTCGCTTGCACGTAGGGGTCTTTAGCAGTGGGAGGAAACCGGAGGACCCAGAGAAAACCCATGAGGTTGGAAGTAAGACTTGGAATTATAATAATAGTTATTGGACTTTGAATTTGACCCTAGTCTTTAAGAAGTGTTCAGAGGATTCTGCATGTCTTTTATGGAACAATCTGCCTTTTGATATAAAGATGTGTAAAAATGTTGAAAATTTTAAGATTAAACTGAAAACTCATCTATTTTGCACACTGTAGGAACCATAATATTAAACTGATGACATACTTATTATTTTTAACTTGCAACTGCATTCTATTTTATTTTGTGTGTAATTATAGTGTTCTTCCTATATTCTACTTGTATAATGTATATGTTTTGTAGTTTGGGAGTGACTTATCAAACTTCCCACTTTAAAATGCTATTGCATTTCTAATGATTTTAAATTTATCCTGATATTACATGTATATATGTCTTTGTAGTTTAGGAGGGACCTATGGAAGATTAGTTGGGTTTTTTTGCAAACTAAATACGTTGCCTCATTAAATAAAGTTTTTATTATTATTATTATTATTATAATAAACAGAAAGTGTAACAATTACCCGATTTTGGAGGTAGCACAACGTTTCGGTCATTAGTGCATTAATAAATAAGTTATACCAAACAGTATCACTAAAGTTAATCAATTACAATGTTTCCATCTCAGGCAATAGACCCAGAAACTTCTTTCTAAAAAATAATTGCACCAGTTTGGTACTGCTACAGAATTCATACAAACCTTTGGGGGACAATAAAATTCCATTAAATAACTTCCTGTTCTGTTGGATAAAACTAATTTCGTTTTTTCCCATTTTGACTGTCCTTTTGAATCTTCGCCACTAAGTACATGAACTATCCCTTCTTTCTTAATTTGTACATCACCCTCTGAGTTACTTGTCACTCGATTTTTTTCTTTTTTACTTTGTTTTTGTTTACGTTTAGTAGTCTCACTCACACTATCAAGGTCTTCCGATGATTGCTTGAAAAACCTATTCTTTTTCAAATGTATTGACAGTCTTCTTATTAAACTCTTGTTGTGATGTTTTCTACCAGGGGGACTTACAATATTCTGCGGAGGGGGAAGATTTTCAACGTGGGTGTCGGCATAATCGTCTTGGTCGCCGCCATTTTGAAGCCAAGTTTCTGAATTATTAGGGAATGTTGATTGATTTCTCTCTTTCACTTCCGCGTTGGTGTCTTCATTCATAGAAGAACGACGGAATTCAAAGTCAAAATGTCGCAGGAAGTATTCTGCGAATTTTCTTGCATACTCATTCGGATCCCGAGACCGGTTCACATTATTTGTCAAACTCTCGAAATTTTTATAACTGCGGACAAAATTTTCAGCTGCAGTCAAAGCCTGTCTGTCACAGAATTCGACCCAGCTTTGGTCCGACTGGCTCGTGTCTGCTGCTCCGTTTACGGCCGCCATAAGAGTTGATTTCACGGCGTCATGCCCAAATGATCTAACTTACACATAACGGTAAACCTTGTAAAGAAACACCGACAAATTTCACACACATAACTAACGTGTTTTCACTCATACTAGCCTGCCGGAAAACAAACAGCTTATTGCTGTGCTTTACGGGTTGCTTAATGCGCATGTGCAGGGCGATATTGTGAATAACGGTCCGATGGTTAGTTTTATAAACTGAGTTCGCAGTAGTCAATGATATTGGTTAAATCGTGCTAATAGTAAGATTCAGTCATCCTCCCACATGCGCCCACGAGATTCACACGCTCTTCGATTGTTGCGTACGACAGTCCTGTATTTAAACGACAATAAGTCCATTTAGCGTTAAAATCTAAGTTATTTATGGATTATAATAGTTCCAAGCATAAAAATAAACGCCTTTATTACCCAAAGGATAATTTTACAAATGCGCACCAAATATAGAAGGAATATCTTGTAAACAAATAATAATAGATTACATGTTTGTGTAAGCCTATATTTTAATTCCATTATAAATAATATGTTTGTTGAAACGAATCATTATCTGTATCTCACAACAGCTGCTCGCTTGCTATAAACAACTACGTCTTTAGATGCAGACCATACCTTCCTTGATTTGATTCTCAGTCTCGTATTTATGAGTACATGGCAATATAACATCGCCTCTGAGACTTTTCTAGGGATAAAAGAGCTATCCTGGAGGGCAGGATATCAGAATAACCTTCTTCTAATCAAGCATGCTTTATGACATTTACCTAATCGTGACAAACATTGGCGTGCTTATAGAAACTACTTGAGATTTATGTAAAGATATTTTCAGTTGTTATCGGTCGGAATTCTCGAATGGTGTCATTCTTACGGTTTGCTACGTCATCGATAGTTTATAATTATTTTTTTAACATTTTATTATAGAACCAAACGTTTGATGGTGTTGGTAAACATTGTTTCAGAGTCAATAGAATAATAGATATTTTTCGAGATCACTATACCTGGTGGGGGTGGGGATACCCTTAATTAGACATTTAAAGTGACAATACCATAATTACTTAATTATAGTTCTCCATTTTCAGGAACCTTTGTACATGGGGTAATAACTTATTTCGAAAGAGATTATAATATATTCGACGAGATATAATCTGACTTTTCGCAGATAAAGAACTTAAGAATATCCGATAAATTATTCGCATAATTAAATTTATTGTATCGTAGTAGTTGTGATATGGGAGACAATCATGCCTGATAATTCCCGTCTTTGAAAATTGAAAAAATAATTATACTTCTCAGGTTTACGGCAGCCAATATAGCCATCACTATTTAATGTTTATTCAGTGCGAATATATACAATATCTGAGGTTTATTCAACGGAAATAATTATGCATTATGTAAAATAAACATGTTAAACGTGAAATAACCAGGAATATCCAACAAATCGTGTAATATAAATTACAAAAGACGTAATCAGGAATGATGTCAAAAACAATTGCAGTCTATTTAAAGATGCATAGGTAAGAGCTAAATCGGTCTACTGCGGACTTTTATTTTGACTTCAAATGTAATATAAATTATTATTTAGGCATTTACTCGGATGACAAGCCTATAATTTAAATATGAAGAAGCGAGGCTGTCTTGATTAACAAGTAACGTTACTACGATAATAAACTTCAAACAGTGATAACGTCGCTCAGAATAACGTAATTTGAATGAAATTTTAAAAATATTAATTTTCAATCATCTATTTTTGAACCATTATAGCAAGAACGACCAGCCCTTTATCAAAATCTTACATAATGCATCTTTAACGAGGAAAACATAAATATTCGATGTTTGTCTGCGATATCATCTCGTTGGAAGCAGACGTTAAATAGAGTTACTTCACACAATGTCATATTCGATGTTCATTATTAAAATTGTAAAACACAATTAAAGCATATTATACGCTTTATAATTTAATGTTGAGTATTATGCCGTCGCCCGTTCGTGTGTCCGGACATAAATCACAATTTGTATTCGATTTTGTTGAAACTTACATGTGTTTATATCCCAAAAGTTATTGTACGAAAATCGCGTATCCTCTAGAGGTTATAATTTTTAGCAGACTCTTTTTAAAAACTTAAAATGTATGTTGATATCTCTTCAGATCTGGAATAGATTAGATTTTGGCACATATACCAGATCGCAATTTCCTGGATTATTGACCCTGTTTTTTTTGTACGAAAATCGCGTACATATAGAGGTCACAATTTTTATTCGATTAAGTTTTGATTAACGTTCAATTATATGTTTTATTACACAAGGAGATCACGGTGGCTAAGTGGGTAAAACGCTGGCTCGCTAGCCTGGAGGTCGGGTGTTCGATCCATGCATTGGCCGAGAAAGTTCATCCAGATTTTCCGGCGTGGTTTCCCCTTGTCAGTGATGCAGGACGGAGGGCCTGGCAAGGACAGCTGTCTAGTCGTGCGGATGGGACGAAAAACCAAGGTCCCGTGTACACATTGGCGTGCACGTAAAAGATCCCTTGGCAGTTGGAATTCGATATAAGAGTAGGCCGTAGTGCCGCTGCCCGGGCAAAATTTCCCTCATTGCACACTGTATGGCGTATGCCCGTCTTCATTAGCCCAGTGTAGGAGCAGAACAGTAGGACGTTAAACCCCATTTCATTTCATTTCATTTTATTACACAACAATCGCAATGTTAAATATGTACGAAGTTTGTGGACCCTCCAGAGGCCACAATTTTGTCCGATTAAGATGAAACTTAGGATAAAAATTATGTTAAGGATCAGAGATCTTGGATGACTTCGGGTTAAATTTATTCACCACAGAAATTAAGTTTTACAGGGCCCATCTTTAGTCAAACAATAAATCTCAAAAACACACACACCAATGAAAATAAATGAGTGCAATAACATTCGTTATATGTCGAGTCGTTCAATTTTATGTTTTCAAATCTATTCTAGACTTTTTATTTGACCGTAATGTAAGTTTATTTTTTGTTTTGTTTTATTACACTAACTGCACAAGTGAATTGAACCCACATATACTTGTACCCCAGTCACAACATATCTGATGAAATAGTGTCATGTACTCAACACTCTTTTCATCTGCATGGTCAATGTCACATATAATTATATATAGCTTCAGGAAGACGAAATACATAAATATTGAAAATGAGCCGTTTTCCTGCCATCCCGGTCCGCGTTTCCGTCAAACCAAAAAGTAGTCCATAGCCTTGTTTATGTGGCTTTGGAACCGAAAGGCCAATCTAGGAGAGAGGGGTCAGACATGAAATGGGCGAAAAGATTCCCAATGAGGTTCCTCGGAACTGCGACCGCCGAAGTCGCGAGGTGCGCCGTCGGCTAGGGATGGCTTCCCCAGAAGATTTATGAAAATTAGGCGGCCGCAAACGCCTTTTTCCTTCTATTTCAGCAACAATAGAAAGTTGTCCAAATATAGTCTTATTTAATATGGTTTTGCGCAACCGAAATCCCACTCCATGCCCATCTGAACTCCAATCAGCCAAACTCTTGTCGTTGAATTCCCAAAAAACTGATGGATGAAACAAATAATGATGGCACCCGAAACAGGGCCGTAACTAGCTCAGAACAACGAGGGGGACAGGAAGTGTTCTCAGAGGTGCTGTAAAATTGACTAACACTGTATATCTAGGTTTTTTTTATGGTCGACAATTTTTTCACAGGGGGGGGGGGGGGGGGGCGGGAGCGAAACCTTTTTCATGGGGGCCTTATCTAAAGATGCTTTATCTATTTGTTTTCCCCGGTTAATATATATGATAGTTATCAACGCGGGTAATTCACATGGTAGATATTTGCATACTCAATGGTAATATATGTTTTTCCCCGTTTAATATATATGGTAGTTATATAACGTTGGTAATTCACATGGTAGATATTTGTATACTCAATGGTAATAATGTTTTCCCGGTTAATATAATATATGGTAGTTATATAACGTTGGTAATTCACATGGTAGATATTTGTATACTCAATGGTAATATATGTTTTTCCCGGTTAATATAATATATGGTAGTTATATAACGTTGGTAATTCACATGGTAGATATTTGTATACTCAATGGTAATATATGTTTTTTCCCGGTTAATATATACCGTTCCAAAAAAGGAGAGGATATTCAGAAACAATACAAAACTGCGGAAATGAACTGATGTTTTTATTGCCTACACATGAACATAAACAGTTCATGTTCATATGGGTGACTTTTACTCACAAAGAGATACATTGTCAAAAGTGAAAATGGACGTTTTTGATTTTTGTCTTAATAATGAGTTATTGCTCCACCAATCCTCAGACATTCAGCAATTCGCCGTGGCATGCTCAGGATTTGGGGCAATCTGACCCACTCCTCTTGCAGTGTCACGGCCAATTCTTGCAGTATTGTGGGTTGACGTTGACGTCGACGAACACGTCTCCCGATCAAATAAAACGTAACACACTAAAGCAAAGTTACGCTAAACAGTAAATCTTATGCAAGAACCGATAGGAAAGCAAACATGGATAGGATAAACCAGCACGCGGCAGTTTTCATCAACCCTTCCTTGAAGTGTGGAGGCTAGGTGGTTAAGACGCTGGCTCGCTAGCCTGGAGGTCGGGTGTTCGATCCCTGCATTGGCCAAGAAAATTCAACCTGATTTTCCGACGTGGTTTCCCCTTGTCAGTGGTGCAGAACGGTGGGCCTGACAAGGACAGCTGTCTAGTCCTTCGGATGATACGAAAAACCGAGGTCCCGTGTATACATTAGAATGCACGTAAAAGATCCCTTGGCAGTTGGAATTCGATATAAGGTTAGGCGATAGTGCTGCTTCCCGGGCAAAATTTCCCTCATAGCACACTGTATGGCGTATGCCCGTCCTCATTAGCCCAGTATAGGAGCAGAACAGTAGGACGTTAAACCCCATTTCATTTCATTTCATTTCCTTGAAGTGTCAAATTTGACAATGAACCCCTCCCACGTGTATGGTGCTATTGCGTGTCGCATGTGCAGCTCAGTGGTTCTGTTGGGGCGATAAGTTCTTCATCTGTGAACATAATCTCAAAGCATGTCAAGTGTCCATGATTATTTATCATATCACAAACTGCATAGGTATTTGCATTTCAATATCCCCTACCTTTTTTGAAGCGTATATATGGTGTAATCAACGCGGGTAATTCACATGGTAGATATTCGTATACTCAATGGTAATATATGGTAGTTATATCAATATACACTATAAAATCGACATGGTAGTTATTTGTATAGTATACGGTACTTATATCGTTCACTAGTAATACACATAGTAGTTATTTGTTTACTCAATGTTAATTTATGGTAATTATCGAGTAAGCGTACCCTATTGTTTCCAATCTGATGACAGAATGGTTAGCACGTGCGCGCTGTATCATAAGGTCTGTCATTGAGTCAACTGGCGTGGTTTCGTTTCCTCGGTTGTACGTGACAAGGAGTAGGGTCGCCTGTCCAACCTCGTAGGTTTTCTCACCGGGTCCTCCGGTTTCCACCCACTGCTAAAGATCCCTACGCGCAAGCGGATTATTGAATTAAAAATTAAACGATGTATTAATCCCGAAATGACCTAGTTTGTGTCGAGTGAACGTTACCCCCCCCCCCCCCCTCCCTCTCTCTCTCTGTTGGTTTCAAGTCCCGTTTGATGTTGTCAACAATGGCCATACAAGCCGTTTTCAGTTCGATAACTGTACTCGTACGCCCCTAAAGTCTAACAGACATCAGCATCGGCGTATATTTTGTAACAGCACTATTTATACAAAATCAATGAATCGGATAATATAAAAGATTTCTGTATAAATTCAAGTTCTGACTGTTTCTTTGGGTCTTTTAGTCAGTATGACTTCATCCTCCCACTGATACAATCGGGAAAGGTAACAATTAGCCATTGGGGAAAAAACATCGCAAGCATTTTTATGTAATTTTATATTTAGCAAAATGCCTCGAATACTCCCAGAGGGAGTTGGCCTTTAAAAGGATGGTGCGTTTCTTTCGGGCAGTCTTGACCTGAAATTTACGGTCAGCGGTCATCCTAACCTCGGAAGTTACATGAATAATAGATTTTTTCTTCCTAAAGGCAATCTAATGTCAGAAAACCATACGAATACGGTCAATTTAATTACGTATCATGGTTTCGACGGCAAAATAACCTAGACATTAGAACTGTCGTATATATATACATCACCTATGAACAGCTCCGTCCGTGAAAATAGGATTGCATTTTTTAAAAAAAAGGGCTGTAATTAAACGGTATAGAAAATATTGTCCTTGGTCATGATGGGGATAATAAATAACCAGCTTTCTTAAACTCATGGATATACAAATAACTACGATATTGATTGCCCTTGAGGATACATACATGCATGTATACCAACCTTCAATATACAATATCCGCCATGTATATTACCCTTGAGTAACTACCATACATGCATGTATACCAACCTACAATATCCACCATGTATATAACCCTTGAGTAACTACCATGCAAATTACTGGTGTATATGATATATAGCTACCATATATTACCATTGAGTAAACAAATAACTACTATGTGTATTACTAGTGTATGGTATAACTACCGTATAACTATCCTTATTTCAACTTCATTCATTGCAAATTATCGCAGAAATTATTTGACAGAAATCAAATATATTTCATGCATGACCTTGTCCTCTTACTTAACTTTTCTGTGAAATGTACCACATATAAACAGTTCTGGTACTGATGGTAGGCCTATTAATATGGTGGATTTTGTGAATTTTATCCTGGCCAGATACAACCTGGGGGGGCTGTCAGTTGGAGGGCTGTCAGTGTGGCAAGAGCAAAATTTGGCTCTGGAGGCTTGTCCCCATGACAATTTTTAAGCTAATGAACAAATATTTGCAAATTATTGGGAGGCAGGGGGAATTTGAATTAATAAACTTTGGTTTCAGAACAGAAATTATAAATCTCAAATCAATTGGATGATAACATATTGTTATTGTTACTGGAAACCGCTAAAATCAGCATGGAGCTTAGTTATTAATATAAACACTCTGTATCAATTTTAGCCTGTAAAGTGTTCAAATGGAAGAAATGAAATGAGATAGGGTTTAATGTCTTACTTTTCAGCATCAACAAGGTCAATAAACGTCATGCAGTGTGCTAGGAGGGAAATTTTGTCCTACTTTTCATCGATTTACAACCGTCAAGAGTTCTTATACATGTACCCTGAACTTTGACTTTTGGTACCATCAGAATAACTGGACACTTGTTCCTTGCCAGGCTTTCCGTTCTGCACCCCTGACAAGCGGAAGCCATGCCGGAAAATCCTGGGATCAAACCCCGAGACCTTTTATATATTGAGCCACGCCTTACATGTACTTACTGAGACACTGGACCAATGGACAGCTGGACAGACTGGGGTGACGACAATATACAAACACATTTCAAAGTGGGTTTATAAAAACAAAAATTTGATTTATTTAATGCATATATTATATATTAAAAGACTTATTTTATAATTAATATGTACAGAAAACCATATATTGCACATGGAAAGAACAAAGTGAAAGGATGACCAAAGGAATGAATGGATGAATCAAGCTAAGTTTCATTTTATTTTATTTTTAAAAAAATCCCTCCCCCTTTCTTTGAAGTCAACTTTACACAGCAAAATGATTATCAAACTCAACTGCAATAAGCAAGTATTTTTTAGAGATGAACCTTTATGAATTCAGGTGAACTATAACACAAATTTGTACCCGAAGCTCAGATGTACACATATTCTTCTTTAACTTGTGTTCATGTTCAATTCACAAATATGAACTAATAGTTTTGAATCCTTCAAGTGCATAAGAAATATAGATAGGGGTTTGCCCCGTGTTCATGGGCTTGGACTAACACCTACTTGATTACTGTATACTGGAAGTTGGTTGAATGTTTTATTATGACTAAGGAGTTCTTACATGCCCAACAACTGTCAAATTAAATTATTCTAATATTCATATGGATCTTTCTAATTATGTAATGAACAATCTTAACATTGGTGAAATACCACGATTTGTGATAAAAAAAAATCTCAAACACACCTCATAAAAAGATTTCTAAAATTCAATGGAGTTCTCTGATTTGTATACAAATGTTAATTTGATAACCTGTGATTGGATTTTCTGATACTGATAGGATTTGTCAGCATATGAACGATTCTAATAAATTTGAAAAACCAATTAGTCGAGAATTCTATCCTTATCACAAGAAGTTGCATCAAGATGCCAAATACAGGTGATAACATCTACATGTAAATGTGGTGAATAAAACGAATACCTTTAATAAATAAAATATAATTCATTTGTAATAAACTATCAGCACTTTCATCTTTTATATAAAAAAAAACCAAACAAATTTATGAAAACAATAATACAAATATTTGTTGTCCTTGCCTTATTTCAACTCCTTAAATCCGATTCAATAAAATATCCCCAAATTCACAGATTATAAAAAATTGAATTTTGCCATATAATAAATTTAAAGGTGTAAATTAGTAGAAGATATCAATATTTTTTCAGGCTACATTCATAACATTTCCAGTAATAATATATTTGCTTTTAAAGATAGAATAATCTTTCTTTTTGATATACAATATAAAATGGATGAGTTGACTGGACAAGCATGATTAAGACATCATATATAGCTTTAAAAGCATTAACCACCATATACACTGATTCTGAAGGAATTAATATAAAAAATCAAAGTTTAAAAGAACTTGATTATAAATGCAGATTGTGGATCAATCACCCATAAGATATCTTGAGAATACCTTCCTTACTTTCAGTTTAGATAATATGACAATTTGTAATCATCCTCTCCAATAGCTACTTTTGTATCTCCAGAAAAAGTTTCCACTCAACAAGCCAAAGACGAATATAATCAGGAATGCAGATTTTCATTAAAGCCTTCTTCTTTAAGGAAAGAATGTCTTTCTTGTATTGGAAAGTCAAAGCCAACACATCTGTTTGACTGATTTGTCTGTAATATTACATGACAAAGTAACGTTTCACATTGAGTAGCTTCATCCAGTGTTCAAACAAATATTTGAATAATTTTTCAGTTATCTAATCAGATTTTTTTTAGTATTTGTTAATACTAAAACTAACATAATTTGATCTACTATTTGATTTGTATACCGCTCATCAAGAATTCAAATCAACTATGAGCACTATCTTGTAAATTCTTTTGCCATTAGCCCTAGCAAGGGAGATTACCTAGTTATTGGAGAGGAATATTACTTTGTTGGCTGTACTGTTAATAAGTTTTTTTCTAACTGATATCTCAATAAAGGAATGATAGTTACACATGATCATATAGCAATATAGACATAATAACAAAACTTATCAGGATTGGAGAAAAAGGTACATTCTTAGAAATAAGATTTCTTAAAATAGCGAAAATAGACAAGACATTTAGGAAATGTTGAGAAGGGTAGCACTCTTTCTGATCACTTGCTTATAGCTAGAATCTGTTTTTAAAGATGTGATGATTTAACTCCTGTCACTGAATGTAAACACATCCATCTTTTGTTTATCCTCCTCATTTAGTCGGTTGATTCCAAAGTTCAAAGAACAAAGTTATCTAGAGGAGCATTGCATCGGATGAAGCACCTAAAATGTCTTGCACCCAGATACATTTAACTCAATGTAGAAGGAGTTATGATCTCAGTCACATTACTACAAAGCACCCTGGTATCTCTAGTTTATGACTGGTCAATCCTCACTATTATGAAAGACTGGTAAAACATGTCAAAACTTGTGTTATTTTATATTTAGCCAATCAACTGCAGCATTGATCTACTGAACAGAAACACAGGAAATGACATCACTAATGGAACTTATCAGTTCTCCTATCAACTTGTCACCATGGCGATGATCGGTTGCTTACAACGCCGATTGGGGATTTCTGATTTGTTGCCATAGTACCATGCATTGAAGATGATATGAGCACCAATTTTTACGGAGGCCACAAAATGGTCATGTGATCACATAAAAAATTGATGACGTTGAGTCACCGTCATGTGTTGAATATGACCTCTGCACTCCGCGATAAATGAACAGGATGTGAGGGACTACGTATGAGTCTATGTTTAGGTATTCGCTCCAAAGCTTTAGATATCTGACTAAATTCAGGTCTTTCTTCCTTCTTGAACGCCCAACATGACATCAATATATCCTGTAATATACAAGTTTACCTTATACTCCTATAGATCATCATTTATACAATCATTCTTTTAACAATTTTAAGCTCTTATAAAATCAACATCAGGAGAGTCCTCTGAACTATCTACAAACCGTAATCAACAAACCTATTAAATTTTTTAAAAAATTGTATTTTTTCTATAGTGCGTATTTTGCATGTATGTGGGCCATTTTAAATCTCAACTCAAAACATTCTTGTTTCAAAACCCTGATCTGTAAATAATCAGTGAATGTAACAAGCAAGATCGATTTAGAAACTGTTTTTTTCAATATTAATGCGCTTTATAAATGATGATATTATTATTTATTATGTGTCTTTAGCAGTGAGAGGAAATGTAAAAGCTTGGGATTGAGACCATTAGATTCTAAATCGCCTACTATTTTTTACGTCCTAAATTGCCAAATGTGACGAGACATTTGGATGTTTAATGTCCTATTTTTCTGCAATGCCTGGGCTAATAAAGACGGGCATAGGCCATGCAGTGTGTTATGTGGGAAATTTTGCCCGCACAGTGGTACTATGGCATACTCTTATATCGAATTCCAAGCGTCAAGGGTTCTTCTACGCACATGGCAATGTGTACCCTCAGCCTCAGTTTTTTGTCCCATTTGAACGACTAGACACTGTACATGTCAGGCCCACTGCCCTGCACCACTGACATGCAGAAACCACGCCAGAACTTTCTCGGCAAACAACTTCCTTGTTAGCAAGCCAGTGTCTTATTCACTGAACAACCACGGCTCCCATCATGGTGATGAAGCTTTTATAATAATTTACCTTGACTTCTCTGGGTGCTCCAATAGTATTTAATGATTGTTTCATGCCTCGTCCAACTTGCCAGATTATGGTTTCTGCTGGATGCGATTTAAATGGCCAATCTCCGCACAATAACTCATACCATACAGTTCTAGAATATACCAATTACAAATCTTAGTTACACATATCAAACAAGAGGCTCAAGGGTTAATGCACAATCAAGTTGCTCCTTTCCCCATTCTGATTGGGTCAAACAATATTGTTTGAACACTATTAAATATGCAGTTACCAGGAAACATATCTATCAATCTGATGCACAGTTACCACTAAACATATCTATCAATCCAATGCACTGTTACCAGGAAATACATTTATCATGCACAGTTACAAGGAAATAATAACCATCTATTCGTATGATTAATTTTAAACACTTCTGCATGTAGTAATAAGAAACAATACTCTATGGAAATGGGAGATAGAAGGAGCATAATTCACATTAGAACTACAAAATTCATAAATACGTTGGTAGACCGAGACAATTAGCAAATGCTTGCAAATGAAAGAAGAAGTAAATTCTAGCTATGTAAGTGAATTACCACTGTATTTACTTACCCAAATGCATAAAGGTCGGACATTTCTGTAAAAGGTAAGTCCATGTTTATATTTTGTCTAGCATGGAGTGTTTTAATAACCTCAGGTGATAAATAACACAACCAGCCAGGTGGAATGCTTAACCAATCTTTTCTGTTTAACATAAAAAATTATATAAGATTCATAACTCATATACATTTTACCAAGTATTTAACAGTCACTCAACCTACACAAAAAGGTCATGGTAGATCAATACATAAATCTGATAACCCACAAACACTTAAACTGAGAAAATGAATTTAAAGTTTGAACGGACAAACAGCCAGAAAATGCAATTACGAAAATAAAAGAACATGATACTGGTAGTCATATTATACATGTAACTGATTTTTGACTATGAATCAAGTTATCAGTTTTATTTATAGAACCATAGAATTGTTTTATTGACAACCCCGGCCCCTTCAACTATCACCGCTTTTTTTAAAAGTAAAGATGAAGAATATATCTAAAAGCAATAAACATTAATGTAAAACCTCTTGTGAGAAAAAGTATAATTATAGACCTGATTTCGTAATAAAATGTTCAATTATATTTTAACTTTCCATCATAAAATTTTCAGTAATTCAATAATATTCAAGGTAGAGATGTTGAAAGTTTTACAGATTATTTATATTGTTATAATTTTTTCTTATATTACTATAATACAATAACTATAGATATATTAATAACATGGTACATTTTCATTCAGTTTTAATAGATAATGGCCGGTATGCCTGGTCATACTATTAATCATTCAGACCATTCATAATAAATTCTATGGAGACCTACTACTTACTTATTTCCTCTACATATTTTCGTCACATTAAATAGTCCAAAATCAGTAATAATAACTTTTCCTGCATCAACAAAAATATTTTTAGTTCTGAGATCTTTGTGTATGATGCCTCGTGCATGTAAATACCCCATACCCTGAAATATACACAGACAACAATATGAAAACATGAACATTAACAAGCTAAAACAATGTTGTATATTAATAGAATAAAAATCTTGTCAACATTTTGAGACTAACATGGTGTTTCTTCATAAGAGGCATACCACATCCATCAAACTATGATATAAAACACAAATTTATATGGAAAGCAATCACTGGGTTTATTTCACACTACGTTTCAACAAGTTCCTCTTGTCGTTCTCAATATCCTCAATGTTTATTTTGTAATGTTATTATTGTACTTTTTATTAGCCCTTTGATGGTTTCATATTAGTTATTGTTTTTTTCACCTTGTGGTATATATTTGAATTCTCTTGCTATTATACTGTCATTACTCACTTGAGAACGACAAGAGGAACTTGTTGAAACGTAGTGTGAAATAAACCCAGTGATTGCTTTCCATATAAATTTGTGTTTTATATCACATGTTCAGTTACTAAATGCCATATAAGAATCCATCAAACTATAAAGTTTGACTGTTGTTCTACATGTTCTGTTCATGATCATAATTTTTCTGGTACCTTTCATTTAGTAAGACACAATTTTTCCTAACACTGAAATATCTTGTAAACATACAGTCGATCATTACATACACTACAATAATGGGGAAATGCTCCGCTTCTGACGTTTGGCATTTGTGGATTTTCTCCTTTTATTTGTTGTTTTATTTAACATCCTACTGTTCTGCTCCGATATTGTGAAAAGATGAATCTCTTAAAATAAATATCAGTCCATAGTATTTACAAAGACATGATGAATTGAAGATTTTGTAACATTGATCATCCTCTGCAGATGACATAAACAAGTGTTGGGTAACATCTTCTTTTTAATTAAACTGAATCCAAGCCGTGAGATGTCTATCATTGATATTTCAGTCCGTTTCTTAATTAAATTAGATTTTGTCCCAAAATGTAAATGATGGTCAGCAACACAACCTTATGCATCATGCTATGCTGTAATATTTGTACCTGTAATCATGACGATAAAAAGCAACTTACCTGTGCTACTTGTGAAGCTACTATCAGTGCTTTATTTAATTTAAAGTTATCTTTCTTCAAATGGATAAGACTAAATAACGTTTCTCCTTTACAAAAACTAGAAAGACAAAAAAATACTTAAGCTATTACTATGATACTTTTTAATCAAAAGAGTTTTGGTCTCAAAAACAAACACTTTACACAGATAATGAGTTCCCAGAATTTGTACCTAAGAATATTCATACATCATTTACAGTCTGAACAATTTAAGCCAAGGAGTGAAAAATGATCATATAATAGACACAGTATTAGAATTATGGGGTAATCGACGAAAATAAAAACTTTATAGAATTTGTACAGTTTACTATACTTACCTAGTAACTATTGCAAGTCGTGGTGGTTTCATACATGCACCCATAAATAAAACTAAATTTTCGTGCCTAGTTTTCCGTAAAACTCCTACCTATAAAAAATATAATACAAATATCTTCAACTAATATCTGTTAATCATTGTCATATTATGACAACTTTTATCTTCCATTTATATTAATACCGATACCATTCGAAGGCCCCAAATATAATACAAATATCTTCAACTAATATCTGTTAATCATTGTCATATTATGACAACTTTTATTTATGTTAATACTGATACCATTCGAAGGCTCCAAATACAATACAAATATCTTCAACTAATATCTGTTAATCATTGTCATATTATGACAACTTTTATTTATGTTAATACTGATACCATTCGAAGGCTCCAAATACAATACAAATATCTTCAACTAATATCTGTTAATCGTTGTCATATTATGACAACTTTTATCTTCCATTTATATTAATACCGATACCATTCGAAGGCTCCAAACTGGTAGAGTTAGAATAATAGTCAATTGCCTGCCACATATGTAACAACAGAGAGAACTATATGTAAGTGTGACCTAATTTGTGCTGACCCGTCAAATAAATGCCTTACGCTATTAATAATCTGACATATCGAAGGGGAAACTCGGTAAAAAATGTGACTAATAACCAATTTACTTTATATAATTTTACAAAATTAATTAGAAATTGAGTGGAATTGATTCAGAAAAACAAATATGGGAAGCTTGCAGAAACTCAAAGTCACATATTGTCATAGAGCTCTTCTATTCTACACAGGAGTCGTGGTGGCTCAGTGAATACAATGCTCGCTAGCTAATTAGGAGGCTGAGAAAGTTCCTCTGGTTTCCACATGCCAGTGCTGTAGGATGGAGGATCTGGCAAGGGCAGTGGCATGCACATAAAAGAGCCCGTGACAGAATAGAAAATAGGAGTAGGCCATAGCACCGCTGTCTGGGTAAAACTTCCTCACAGAACACTGTATAGTGTATGCTTGTCTTCATTAACCCAGTTGGTGCAGAAAAGTAGGATGTTGTTAAAACTCCATTTCATTTATTCTATACTTTTAATGAGACATGCATACCTCTAGCTTGAATGCTGCTAATTGAGCCTGATTATCACTGTCATCCATTGCTAAAACTTTAACAGCTACTGGACCATGCCAATGACCTCTTCAAATAAAAAATTGAATTTAGTTAATTTATCACAATTACAGTCTCAGCAAATTTAACTTGAAAGTACCTTTTCTATAGCTATTCATACAAAGGTAGGTTTTAAAATTTTATCCGGATTTAAAAAACACATCATCTAAAAAACTAAAGTAATGCTCGTAAAAAGAGAGGTAGAAAATAAAACAACTAAAAACAGATTGTTCTTACTTGTAGACAGTACCAAATCTTCCAATACCAATTGTATCTGATAATATTAGTTGTTCATATGGTATATCCCATTCTTTCATAGTAACAGATAACTGAATATACAAACATATAGAAATATAAAACTCACACACAGTAGTACATAGGTTATTGGGTTTTTGTCGTAGAAATAATTAAATTTCTCATACCAGAAATCAATTTCAATTTAGAGTTGATAAATATTCAATTATTTAACAATTTAATGGATACTTGACCTTGATCCTTTTTGGTATCATAACTGAGAGGTGTTGTACATGCACGCACACATCTCTCTAGCAAACGACACGACTTCTAACCATACTACATGTAAACAATACAGTTTACATAATGGTGTTCATTATCGTTTTTATCATAATGCAAAACACTACTATGAAAATAACACATTACTTACACTATTGCCTCTTTTCCAGTTATGCCCTCCTTGATCATCTTGGCTATCTATGGAATCCACCCTATCTAACTGGAGTTTGTCTGATGTATTACTCTATAATAATACAAATAATACCAAATTTATCTTGCGAATGTTACAATATATCCCTCCTCGGAAGATTTGAGTTTAAAGAGCATGAATGATTTAGGTCCAAAGCCTTTAATTCAAAGTCAAAAAATTAATAAAAAAAAGAATCTACAATGAAATGGATTTAATGTGTTGTTAACAATGAACTGAGGGTATCTGGAAACAAATATTTACTTTTATAGATGAGTGAAATACAGCCAAGGAGAATGTTACATGGACTGTGATTAATGTTTCAGTCATCTCTTCACTAAATTCCTTACATTGTTCTTAACCAACACTGGATTTAAGTCTTACATCAAAAAAAATAACAAGTCAATAAAAATGTATACTTACATCTATTAATGTTTTATCACTATCATTGGAAGTATTTGTATTTACAACATCCCTAAAGTATAATATATATGTATAATTAATGCATTAATAATTTATTCATTTACAAGGGTAGTAATTCTGCAAATGGATAACTTTCTCATTGTGGACAACCATGCATTTACTGCTTAATTCTTAAAATTAAAACCTGGTTTTGGTGACAAAGGCAGTGATTTCGATTAATGCATCACCCAGCATTTGTTACACTTTTTACATGAGAATAATCCCCGACATATGACAACAAAAAGTTTTGTAAGCTTATACTGATAATTACAAGAGAGAGAGAGAAATGGGGTATAAGTCCACTCGACACAAACTAGGGCTTTCTGGGACTAACACATGATACAATTTTTTCTCAATAATTTGCTTGCGCGTAGGGGTCTTTAGCAGTGGGAGGAAACTGAAGGACCAGGAGTTGGACATGCGACCCTACTCCTTTTCACGAGATAATTACAAATTTCACTTCTTTATATAATAATCTAATGAAGAACTTACACCTCATTCTGTGAATCTGAAGGCATCTCAAAATTTGCAGGCAAAGTAGCAACACTATCTGGCACATCTGTAAAATACAATAAGTATGGAATAGAATGATCTAATATCAATATATATGTATACATGCATCTTGCAGTACAATCAACAATGATGTATCAATGCTTAAGTTTTGTGTCAACTGGTCAATCCAATAGCTGGTTTTATGTGTGTAGGGGCTTCCTTACTTTCTGTTTAAATAAATGTGGTGAATTAATTAGTTTAAACATATTTTATTGACAAATATCAAAAGGATTGAGCACATATCTTTTTTGTTTGAACAAAAATATTTATGGCTCAAGTTAATCTCATTTTAATTAGGTAGATGGTAATTCATTGATTGTTAAAGTGGTTCACAACCAACTGTAATTTCACACAGAAAATGCTTTTTAGTTCAGCAAGGATTGTGTTAAAAGAAAGACAGGTTGCCAGGCAACACCTGGAAACTATATGTATAAATTTCAGGCCAACTTTAGCCGCACGAGGGTCCACAATACTTTTCCAAAGTAATCGTGGAAGATAAATCTGGAATTAATTATTGGAAATCCTTAAAAACAATGTGTCAATCACTGTGTATAAGTCGATCACTGTGTATAAGTCAAGCACTATGTATAAGCACTGTGTATAAACACTGTGTATAGGTCAATCAGGCGATAACTTTAACCTCTAGTCTTAGCGCTTCCACAGGGAACTGTGGATGACAAACCAGCAGACAGTCAGGGTTGAAGACAATATATGGCATGAGGGCGTATACAAACAGATCCAAGACTTACGGAACACGATGGTAAACATGATGATTTCTTTTAGTCAATTTTTCAATGACTAGCACCACTTATATTTCAAACGAAATGTAAGAAATCGTCTGTCTAAACTTTACAAGTATCCAAATGTTGAAGAACTCAAATGAAACTCACCTGGAAAGCGAAAGGTATTACGTGTTTGAGGAGACTGTGATGGTGAAGGGGAGGTAACTGTGCCGGATGAGGTGGCAACAAGATTTGGAGAGGAAGGTGTAGAAGAATTACATGAAGAAGTTGAACTAGAATCAGGTAAATGAGAGAAACCAGGTAATGATGATACTTGTTTTAACATCTGACTATCATAACCATCAGGTAACTGTAGATTTGGATTGGTTGTACGACGATTGGGTATTGGTGATTCTATACAAATATAAACATCATTACATTTAATAAAGAACATGTACAAGATTTTACAAATGATTTCATTAGACAACTTGTTTAGAATTCTGTTATCTCGATGAATGTGAATTACAGTGGACTCTCACATCCGACATCGTACGGGATCGTTACAATAATTCGGATCACACAGTGTTTTGGAATACCGAGCTTTCTCCAAAACCGGAAATACTGTAACTTCGAAAACCGGAAGTATTTTTATAATGTAGCTTCGAATCACCAAAATGATATTCCCTTCATAAATGATAAACTTTTCTGTACTTTCAAAATTTTATTATATTAAATAATTAACAATATCAATGCATGCGTACAATATATTTATAAATATCAATGCATGTAATCGTTTAAAGTAGTTTGCTTAAGATTACCAGAAGCATATCGTAAGGCGGAGTCCTGGGCAACATCTTCTAACAAATGAATTGTTGCGATCATCTTTTCGTCCTTAATCTGTGCGAAGTGTTTAATGTCGTTGAGCATGCGTAGGAATTTTGAATAGGTCAAGTCTGTCTTTAATGTATATTCTTCATCGTCCCCGTCTTCAGTCAATTGTCCACTCTGTTACGTGTTCATTTACAATCTGTCGTTCTATGTCCAGTTTTTCAAGCCAATCAAAGTAAACGGCACCTGTCATCCAAGCTTTGCGATTGGCCGACCAATTGACTGGCAGGTTGATCTTGTCCACTCCCCTAAAACATCTCGGGTTAACTGCTTTACCAATCAAAGTAATCAACACACCGATAATCTCACCGATAATTGATTGGTGATTACTTGTTAATCTTTTCTGGCTTCACACCCATTGAGTTTTAATCTCACCGATAATTGGATGCTTCACACCCACCGTTTGAAGTACGGATTATACGGTGTCGATTCAATGGAAATTATGTGACGGGACGGCAGATTGATTTTGGAATCCGGAACATACAGAATTCGGATTTACCAGCGATTTTTTGGCTGAAGTAATAAGGAAATAAATCGGGACATGAAAATCATACCGGATGTCACAGCAATCCGGAGTGATCAGAGATCGGATGTGACAGAGTCCACTGTAGTTGGATAAGCAGGGGAAATGCTGACAAATTTCTCAATATCTTCTGTATTGGAAGACAAGAGAGATAAATTGTCATATTTCCAGAAACCAACTTTTATCAGAATCCTTATAAGACATATAGACTATAGAGGTAGATTTAACAAATTAAAAACACTTATATGGATATTCAAATAATTTCTAATCGTTATCAATACATTACAGTCTTTCAATTTGTTAATCCTTTGTAATTGTTTATCCATATTATTTACTTCTCTTATCTTGTTAATTCTTAATTAATGATTAATCTGTTACATGGTTTCCAATTGTTAACTATATATTGCACCACATTTTTGTTATATATCATTATTTGCTTGATAACGATATCTGTATGTGTATCGAAACGTAGCATGTTAATAAATACAGAAGTAGTATATCCATATAAAAGTGTTTTTAACTTTTATCAGATCAAAACAATGTCTAAACTCACAACCAGCTTATAAAGTTGGCAGATTTCCAGTAGCTATTAAATATGTAATAGCTACAAGGACGATTTTCAGGTCACTGTTAACATGAAGAGCTATTATACACAAGACTATGAGAGTATTATCAGGTCAAAACCAAATATTCATAAGATCAACTCAGTGCTATTGAGATCAGAAGGATAGGTTATCAGGCAAGGAAACATTTGCCCGCAGCAGCTAAATCGTCTGAGCAGTCGACAAGGGTTGTTTATTTCTTTTGTAGGTAATGGGTGCATTTACAAGACACAGATATCAATTTCATACAGATCAGATGTTGTCAGAGTGTTCACAATGTTCAACAAAGTGAAACAGGGGCCAATAACATGAGAAGTTATATACAGAAATTATTGAAATTCTATAGGCTTCTTCATTTTACGAATCTAAATGAAATGAAATGAAATGGGGTTTAACGTCCTACTGTTCTGCTCCTAACCTGGGCCGAAATCCCCAAATAAATAGATGACACATATTAATTAATCGCACATCTATTTTTTTCAAAAGTATCGAGCAATCTAACTGATTATCAACTATACACTAAATTTCATCACTCTCTATCAGATAGAATCAAAGTTATCTTGTCCCAAAGCATCGACCAAGGAAATTGCTTATCCCTGCTTAGCTTTAGCTCAACATGTTAATCATTGAACAGTCAAGACGAACATCTACATCAAGTTTAAACATTCTACCTCAATTAGAAGCAGAGTTGTTATGTTCCAAAATCTTGACCAATCAAAATGCTTATTGCTCCTTGCCTAAGCAGACAATTCTCATCATCAAACTTAGTCAAGGTATTGATGTAATGAAACTATACACCGAGTTTCATCACCCTCACTTAATTAGAACTAAAGTTATCGTGCCCCAAAGCATCGACCAATCAAATTGCTTATCTCTACTCACCATAAGCAGAAAATGCTCATCTTCGCACTCTATCAAGGCATTGACCTCATAAAGACCTACACCAAGTTTGAACATTCTAACTCAATTAGAAGGAGGGTTATTGTGTGCCAAAGTCTCGGCCAATCAAATTGCTTATCGCTCTGCTTACCCTGAGCAGAAAATGCTCAATATTGAACTTAGTGAAGGTATTGATGTAATGAAACTATACACCAAGTTTCATCACTCTCACTTAATTGGAACTAAAGTTATCGTGTCCCAAATAAAATAATACCAAGTGCGAACAATCCAAACCATTAGACAAAATTCGAAGTCCTAAAAAAACAGTATAGGCAAAATAGTGTAATAAAGCAAAATAGTGTAATCAGCATATGGACTGTTCACCGTGTACAAAATACACGACAAACAGTGGAAACAGGTGTGCGGAAGAGTAAGCTTACCCTGCCTGGCGCCACACCCGCCATAGCTGCATCCAAACTATTAGGCGAAATCTCCTTAAAATAGCGTGATTGGCCAATGGACTACCAATCAAATTGCTTATCTCTACTTACCCTTAGCAGAAAATGCTCATCTTCACACCCCATCAAGGCATTGACCTAATAAACACCTACACCAAGTTTGAACATTTTAGCTCAATTAGAAGGAGAGTTATTGTGTTCCAATGTCTCGGCCAATCAAATTGCTTATCGCTCTGCTTACCCTGAGAAGAAAATTCTCATTATCGAACTTAGTCAAGGTATTGATGTAATGAAACTATACACCAAGTTTCATCACTCTCGCTTAATTAGAACTAAAGTTATTGTGTCCCAAAGCATCAACCAATCAAATTGCTTATCTCTGCTTACCCTAAGCAGAAAATGCTCATCTTCAAACTCCATCAAGGCATTGACCCAATAAATACCTACACCAAGTTTGAACATTCTAGGTCAATTAGAAGGAGAGTTATTGTGTCCCAAAAAGTGTGACGGACAGACGGACGGACGAACCCATTTTAATAGTCCTCTGCTTTCTTCGAAAGGCGGGGGACAATAATCAACGGAAATTTAAACTATGCATATAAATTTAAAACAGATCGGATGATAACTTTAGTACTTAAGAGCATTGAAACAAGGGCCATAACTCTAGATGAAATTAACGGAAATTGATGAAATTCAATAGACTTCTTCATTTTACTAATTTAAATCATGCATATAAATTCATATAGATCAGACCTGACCAATCTAATACTGCATCAACATAGGAATCTGACATACCACAGGCTGGTAAAGCCTTGCTGGCACAATCTTTATGGAACTTTTTTCTACAATAAAAAAATAACAATCGCTATAATGTATGGCCTTTGTTTTTCAGCAGAATTGATGTGTATTTTACTTCCAATACATTAGACTATATTTATTCCAATAAATCTCATTTTTTACCAATATTTAATAAATAGGAAAATCATTTAATCCATAATTTTCATTCATTCCAATATGTGAATAAATGTCATCTCTTAAACTCAAATGGAATAAAATTATAACGTTCATTTTAATTTCATAAAACATATTTAATAATTTCTTGTAATTAACGTTTTTGAGTATTTTTAATTGTAAAATTTGATCAAAAACAACATTAATATTACTAATGTATATATCATACAACTCCTGCATGCTACAAGTACAAGTCAAAAATCTCACTTGCTTAAACATTATGATTCATTTTAATAAATCATCTTAATCTTTGTTTAATCAGAATTTTAATTAAAAGATTCATTGTCTATAGGACAAAGTAATAGGAATGCTTTGATTTTTAAAAAAAAAAATGTATGTTGAAGGCAAGAAAAACTTTTCTAACATGAATTCATCTTTATTTTGTCATTCTAGGTCACCTTATGTTTCAAACCACACAGAAAGATTTCTGTCTTTCTACAAATATCCATTACCTTTAATTTGGACCCATACAAAATATTTCTTTGTAATTTCAAGCTGAGCATTTTGTTAGTGCTGTGCAATATTTAGGCTTGCAATAAAAACGATAATGTTAGTTTTATCAACAATTATGGTATTCATTAAATCTTTTACTAGATGATAAGATTAAGAAAGTAAAACAATGGAAATGCCTCCAGAAGTTATAAAATGAAAATTGTTGAAATTCAATAGGCTTCTTCGTTTCTCTTATTTAAATAATTAATACAGATTGAATGACAATCTTTGTCATCTGAGCATTCACAAGGTTCTACAAAGAAGAACAACTACTCCAGAAATTATTTACAGAATTTGTTGAAATTCAGTAGGCTTCTCTGTTTTTTACTTATTTAAATAATGCATATACATTTTCTACAGATCGAATGATAACTTTTGTTGTTCAAGCGTTCATAATTTCAAAAGGTTCTACAAAGTGAAACAAGGGCCATAACTCTAGAAGTAATTAACAGAAATTGCTAAAATTCAATAGGCTTATCCATTATTGTATTGCGAACTGAAACTCTTATTGACTAAAACTATAAGCTTTATTTCAAGTTTTATTAAAAAAAATCTGTCCACCGGAAACACAAACATAGCATTATAAATGATGACAGTAAGTTAACAAAATATGTCCCAACAGCATTTAGGGAAGACACTTATAATAGCATGACAAGACCAAATTAAACTATTTCATTCAAAGAAAAGTAACTGTATTTCACAGAAATGACTAAAGAAATTTTCAGGAAATTCAAAAGGCTTCTTCGTTTCACTAATTTAAATGATGCATATAAATTTCATACAGGTCGGATGATAACTTTTGTTGTTAGAGCGTTCACTTGGTTCAACAAGGGTCATAACTCTAGACCTAATTAACAGAAATTTCTGAAATTCAAAAGGCTTCTTTGTTTCATTAATTTAAATAACAAAGTGAAACAAGGGCCATAACTCTAGACTTAATTAATGGAAATTGCTGAAATTGCGGACGACAGACAGAGGCAAAGGCAATATACAACCACATTTCAATGTGGGCTTATAAAAAAACAATTTTTTTTTTCAGATTTGTATCTAAATAGGGATTGGGGAACAGGCATCGCCTATATTAGACCCCTCTCGGAGTTCTGAATTATTTATTATATGGAAAGCCCAGCATCATCTAATATCTATCTCTTACCAAACAATGACAAAATAGAGATGATTACAGTGAAAGAAATTATGAATTTAAAGTACTAAACAATGTTTTTTTTTGTTTGTATTTTTATTAGGCTTGACACATCACTTACTTGCAATCTTTACATACTTTTCCACGAAATATATATAGGGTACAAATATCACAGGGGTTCAAAATAAAACCAGTCACAAACCTAGAAACAAAGACATCAACACAAAATACAACATTTATAGAAAAAATAGAACTAAAAAGCAAATTAACTAATTGTACAAAAGATAAAATAAGATTACATTAAAATGATTTAGTACGTGAAATTTCTAAGGTCAGCTGACTGATTACAGATATGGCTAGCTTCTCAAGGCACATATGTAAATAATGAATGATGATATTGGGATAAATATCATCAATTTGTTCATTAAATACAACTCAACACTGAACTGCTACAAAGACAATATTTTATTGGTATTTCACATTTATTGTCTATTTGGTATCAGCCTAATTGATTTGTATATTGCACTCAGAAATATATTAAAAACAGCTTGCCAGGCAATGAAACATTTGTTTATCAGCAGCTTTGCTATCATGTTAGATCATTTTTGTAGCAGAAAGGGCATTGATAAGGCTTTGTGCAAAATGAGAATAATATTTTATAGGCTGCTACCTCTTAAATATTTAGATAACCAACTGTAATTTCAAAGTGATCAAATTGAATTTTGTAGATGTAAACTGTTGAAAAGATTTCATAATAAAAAGCTATAACTAGAAGTTACAACTCGAGCCTTATTCCCCCCTTAGCATAACAACCTATAGAAATTTCAAGACCATGAGATAATCTTTGCCTCTATTGTGGACATAGGACCTGGATTTTCTCCTTAATATAAATAAGTAATTAATGAAAAATAAAACACAACGAACATATTACATGTACACTATATCAAAAGACAACAAGTAAACTAACAATATCTACTGTCAATTATTTAGAAGTTTAAAGTTTTTAACATACCAAGCACGACATTTAGACTACAATAAATTCTAATCAAGATTCTCTCATTTTGATTCTTGCTGATATAGAATGTCTTTATTTTCTACTAAAATATTACTCTATTCAAAACAAACATTTGTATATCTTATAGGGATAGACATTAGAGAATCATGGTTTGAACATTTGCAATCAAAGAAATATGTCCTTATTCCTCAAAATCAAATTTCTTTTAATAGTACCAAGGGGGTGCAAATGGCAACATATTTTTGTTCTTTTGAATTGAGTCTACTAAGTAACTAGAAAAACTATTTTAGTCACTAATTAGAGCATATTTTCTAATGAACAGAGCCACAACATTTCTTGCCACCAACCACTTTGATATTCTTTGATCTTTTAAAATCAAAATGGAAACTACATTGAGTATTAAGCTTGTTCTCAATATTATTACTAAATTCTATTTTTTGCCATTGGAGAGTGGATAAATTTGAGAAAGATATTTTATTTGGTATGCTAATTCTTTATCTTCCATTGCTAGACATTGACTGGAAGTCTTACTTGCAATCTTTACATTTAAACCCATAAAACATCTGTTTGTGACAAACATCACATGTTGTTATCTTAACGGTGTTTGCAAACCTAATTTAACAATATAAGTCACAAAATTGTTATTTTAACAGCATCACCTGAAAACTTGCTAATTACTATACAAATTATCCATGTTCTGCCCTTTGTAAATACCTGTCTGAAAATAGCATTTATGATCTGTTAACTAATACAAGAAAAACAGAAAATTTACTCTCCACCAACTCCAGATCACATTTCGATGTGATATACAACACATCTAAATTTTTCGGAAACATAAATCTATTATCATAGTTTATTATGAACATCAATTGACAATACTTCGCAAGGAAAAAAAAAAGACAGCTGTTTAAGCAATCTATCAAAATTGAACTTAAATTTCATTCCATTTTTAAAATTAGTTGGCCTACACTACATGAAGATCTGACAACTTCTTTATAAATTTCTCAGAATTCCAAATGTAGCCACTTTAATTGATTAAAAGCATCTGTTCATTGGCTCAGGTCAGGAGAGGTCAACTGAACACAAATTTCTTTAAGATGTTGTTCGGTCTCATTGTAGTGTAAAGTAGAAACAACAATGAAACAAAAGAAGATTATCGTCTAATTTTACTTTGCTGTTTAAAGCCAATATTAAATATGGCACATATCCATAGCTGTATACAGCATCATTGCCTATTTCTATATATATACAGACGTACCTGTGACTGATCTGATGCTTCATCTTCGGACCAGGTGTTTTAGGAGATTTTGGAACTGTCAATGTATCTAAACACAAAGGAGAGAAATTTAAATATTTTGATCAAATGAATGTTAAATTTGTTTCTTCAATGTGATGTACTGATTTAAAGAAAAGTAAGCTGATTTGTAAAAATTCTATTTTAAGGCAGGAGATATTGAAATGAATATACCACTACCAAATAAACTTAAAAGAGGTGACCATTCCATAGCGTGTAACTAAAACTTACACAATATAACTTTAAGATAACCTAACAATTAACCTTCAAATTCATGTAATCAATTTCTCTGTATCATATTCATAAGGCCCTATCTATTGTCTTTCAAATAAATAAATTAATTTGTGTTGTCTTCACTGATTTATGAACAAGTTGGAAATATATGACAACACACCAACCAATTAGATTACTAAATGTAGAAGATGAAGCCAGACATATAGTTTGTATCACATTTAAAAATAACGAATCCGTCATTTTGTCATTGTTTGATTTCTTCTACAACATTTACAAAGGTTACTTGTTACTATCATTAAGAATATGTTTAAAATAAAACTAAAGAGGTTATTTTGTTTAAGGAATATATGTACATTTTAACAAATGTTTAAAAATATAGGATGACTAAAAACCAAGATGCACTAATACTCCAAATCAGAATTTTATACAGCTCTAAGAATGCATTCTCAGATGAAATTAGTAGCATAAGAAGATGGATAGTTTTGGTATTATAGCAGATAGTTTAGTTTCTAAAGCTTTTGATAAAGAAACAATCACAGCAATCATACGAAAAGCCAAACAATTCTGATCTGAACATGCTCATAATAATAAAACTATTCTACAGAACAGCATTATGTTCATCTACAAATGTTCAGCTTGCTTAAAGAAACATCACACAAAAAATTGGCAATATTTTGAAATAAAGTGTAAAAGATATCCATGTCCAATGTTTCAATGTGTGGCATTCCCTTGGAAACACTACTACATGATGTTGATTCTTTCATTTCTTTTTCGTAGTTTGAGGATTGTATTTAACATGAATGCACAGATTTTAGCTTAAATGCAAAGCACATGGAAATTTTATAATGAAAATGAGCTTATATTGAACACAAGCAGGCAGTTGAGTAAAGAAATTTAAAAGATATCTTAGTCTTGTTTAACCAGTATACTATAATGATGGATATGAAAGTTCAGGAGCTAACAACCAAATAATGTGTTCATCATTTACAAACAGCAGTGTAGTCTGACCAATTGATTTTTACTCATATGGAACACCAACTGCAAGTTTGTTTTTCTTTGGGAGGAGAAGCAGCAGGTGGGACAAAATTTATTAACTGATGACCACATTATATGGTCATTAGGTCTTGGACTTTTGAGTGATGAATAGAGGTGTGCAATCAACCAGATCAAGCACACACATACAAGTTCTGATGAATCATCAGAATAATTCTGTGGGAATAAATAATGACATATACCCAGAAATATATGGTATACTGTCATATCACTATACGATATCCAAAATGTTCCATATTGCTATTACAATTAGGTATGATGTATGTAATCAAATAGCAGATTATGGAGACCAAAGATATCTTTAGTAAAATCAATGAGAAAATTAGTAAAAAAATAAGGATATTCAAAGCTAATAAAATCTACTAAGATAAAGAAACACATCAGCTCTCTTACTAAATTGTTTGCCTCTGAGTACACACCAGCTAAATACTTATTTAACTACAGACTTTAGTGGCAAAAAACACAATCAGTTGTATTATAATATTTTGTATAAATCTAGTCAAAAGTAACTTTTGATTGACTGGCAATTGCTATTCTGATGTCAGTGTTTAGTAAGAGAGTTGATGAAGTCTCTGAGAAGAGTTGAGAATAAATACAAGCAGTAAAACAAAAATTCAGCTAAGATATTAATAGATTGTTGTAGATATATGAAAAAGTATTTTTTTTTTTTTGTATGTATAAGTCTTACTTATCTTTTAAAGATTATATATATATGTATATACAATGCTAAAGCAAATATTTCATTAATAATTCAACAGCATTTTAAAGCCATAGTATGGATAAGAAATAAACACTTCCACAGCACATTTTACAAACATCAATTATTTATAGGAAGCCTTTCAAAGTGTTTTTTTTTTTAAAACCAATATGCAGGTCAAAATAAAGTCGCTGATTGTCATTTGCATTTTTATGGACAATAGAGAGGTTTCACAACCTAACAGTTACATTTACATTTAGATAAGCGAAAGTGTAACTGTACATTATGACGTTTTGCTAAATTCATACAATTATATTTAGTAGGTGGCGACACAAACTTGGTCCACAATCTTAAAGGCCTTCATCACGGATAGGTTGTTGAAGATGAGATTAGTAAAGCATACACATGTTTTGTCTCAGTCTTTTCTTATTTTGTCTAATCTTTTAGTATCTGTTTTTTCCATAAGTATGTTTTTTTGTGTATTATTTTGTCTTCTCTGTGGATTTAGTTCGTGAAAACCACAATTAAGAGAAAAATTTTGGACTGGATTTTAGAAATTGAACAAGGCTTAGCCAAGTGTTGTGAACTTACAGTTAATGGAGGCTGCTATCAGTCAGCAACACTTTTATGACGTGCGCTTCACGTCATACGTCACAAAAACTGATGACATTTAACTGACTAAATGTAAATGCAAGTGTAAATGTAAAGTTGCGAAACCTCTCTAATAATATCTATTTCTTCACAACTTAGTCCATGCTAAAATGTTCTCAAATAAATTAAATATATATAACGTTCAGAAAATAAGATCAAATTATTAACAATAGATAACCTCCCAGCTTGGATTTGATCTGATTAAAAAGAGACTCATTATAAAAAGTTTAACAAAGATTGTAGGTGCTGTTGGTTTGTTTTTGATCATATCTCAATTTAAATTTTCAATTCATCATATCTTTATATATTACTGAACAGAATTGAACGATTTCACAAGTTTGCAAGTGACCCAAAATCCTTGAAATGACCATCAGAGACTAAAAGAAATAGAATAATTATTAATTATCTTTTTAGCAAATTTAATAGATCTTGTGGAAATGTTTTTGTTGTTTGTTTGTTTTTTTTAAAGATGTTACATTAATAAAAGAGATATCTACCCTGAGTTTGCATAATTTCATTGTTTTGAAGAAGAAAAAAATCAAAGAAAATGATGAAAGATATGAACTTTCAGATAAACAACCTTGTTACTTTACAAATACTAAGAACCTGACAGTAAATCTCTCTAAATAAATATTTCAAATGAACAGTTAAATCATCATCTATTTTTTTTCCCGTATAGAGGGATTATGTTTTTTTTTTATTGCAACTCGGGGTAGATAAAGCATGCAGACCATAAGCCATCTTACTAGAGTATTTAATAACTTCATTAGTAACTTCATGCTTGAAACACGGGGGAGAACGCAGCGGAGAGGACATGCCTGGTGAATTATGACCTGACATTCCCCTATAGGAGGCAGCACCTGTGTCAGAACGATCAGATCCTTCTGCTGATAAACGACGTCTATATAAAGCTTCGTGACTTCCTCCCAGTTTTAAATTCTGTGGCTTGCTTCGATTTTTATTTGATCTGAAAGTAGATAAAAATATAAAACTTGGAATATTATTCTTTTGTAATACTAATATTGAATTCTGAAGCTATGTGTTATGTGGTATCTCATCACTTTTTTTTTCCCCTCAATGTTAGTCCTATCACTAAATGCCTTATAAACAATATATCAGACTCAAAGTTATTTCAATCATTGTGTCTATTGGTGTGTTCGTTGCTGCTCATGAATGCCCTAAAGGTAAATTATGAACCAGTTATCTGTGATTGCTATTCAACCAATAAACATGTCTTGCAGAACCTGAATCGCAGCTGATTTCATAAACCGTAAGTCTGGATCAGTAAAAACATGCCCTGTTCTTTTCCTTAAGTCTGATGATTGTAATTACTTTCAAATACACCAGACTCAGAAATAAATTCCCAGAGTCTAAATGGATGACACACAAAAGGTGTGTTTTATTTTCACCATCTTGAGTCTCCTTTTCGATGTGCTGACATAGTGTATTGAACTTTTTTATAAGTAGTCCAGTGACAGGGTAATCATGAACAAAAACAAACACACCATTAGTCAGAAAATTCCAACCTACCCATGGATAGAGCATGGTTGAATTCATATCATGTAGCAAGACATTTAGATACCATCACAAATATGACCACTTATAAAAGAAATGAACACAAACAT